CTCTCTCTCTCTGCCTCTCCTTCTCTTTCTGTTTAACTCTGACTTTCAAATAAATAAATAAAATCTTTTAAAAAATAAAAATAGTCACTCTATTTGTTACATCAACTTTATATATATTGTTACACCCAAAAAACTTACTAACCCTATTATTAATGTTAATTTTCTGTATTTTCTCATTTTTTGTATGAAGACTATCATTGGTAGTCTTGTTTTCATTTTTATACATGTATTAGTTTATGTATATACATATGCAGGTGTGCAGCATACCTTCACTGTCTATGAGAAGCTTAGGCCTACTCCACTAGATTCAGTATGATGTTGAACAGAAGGCGTCATAAGGGTCATCTCTTCATTTTACTGAATCTATGGTAATCTAATATCTAATGTTTCACTACTAAAGATGGTGTTTATTGACTTTTACTACATATTGTCAGTTTAAAGAAATACACTTCTATTTCCAATTTGCAGAGAGTCACTGTTATTGCTGCAACTAATCCTGGTTGTTTCATTTATTGTGTGCATTTAATACTGGACCTTTTGTGATAAGCTTCCTCCCCTCCTTCCTTTATTCAGCAAATGTGTTCAATTGCACTAATACAGATCTCTTAAAAGATTAAACTAACCACGTGCACTTGAGATTAAAGTTGCCTTTGTCATGCTGTATTACTTGTTTTAGTCATTCATTGGATATAGTTTGCTCTTCATTCATTTATGTGATTTGCATTTATTTAAGTCATTGATATTAGCTGGTAATTTTGCTTTTGCATGTATTCCTTGTGAAGAATACCTCTAATAATGACAAGTATCTATTTCTCCAGTTTGGAAACATATTTTTTCTTGGGAATATCTCAGTTTAATCAATAATTTGAAGTTATTAGCCTATCTTTTCCATAATGTCATCTTGTCTTTCCAATCTTTTCTGCAGCTGCAAATGTTTAGCCCTCTTCAGTCCCAAAGTGACTTTTCTAATACTTATACTTTTGTTTTTTTTTTAATCACTCCATGCCTACTAAGATGGCTGCAATAATAATCTTTTATAAATGGCAAATAACAGATGTTGGTGAATATTTAGAACACTCATATGTAGCTGGTGAGAATATAAAATGATCCAATCGTTGTGGGAAAACTTTCAACTTTATCAAAAAAGCCAAAGATAGAAATATGATACATAAATTCCAATTCTAGATAGATACCTGAAAGAACTGAAAAAATTATTCAAGCAAATACTTGTACACCAATGTTCACTGCAACATTATTCACAATAGCCATAATATGAAAGCAATCCAAGTATCCATCACCAGAAAAATGGATAAATGGAATGTGATAAATACATACAATGAAATACTATTTGGACACAAAAAGAAATGAAGTTCTGAAATATGTTATGCTATAGTTTAGAAATAGTTTGTGTTTCCCCCAGAGTTTCATGCGTTGGAAAAGTTTGGTTCCCAAAGCAGCGATGTTAAGAGATAGTGGCACCTTTAAGAGATGGGGCCCTGGGGGAGACTGTTAAATTGCTGAAAACATGCCCTTGGGAAATGTTTATGATGGTTTGCTTTCTTAAATTTAATTTTTATTTTAATTAATTTTTAACAAATTCAAAATGATTTGTACATATAAGACTAATAATGTATTATCTTCCTTCCTCCCTTACTCCAATCTTTCTTCCTTCTACTTTTTTTGAGGCAACATTTTAAATTCACATCACAGTAAAAATGCTCACTACTTCACGGAGTGATTAGTTTAAGAAGTGAAAATATAAAAAGACCCTAGTTTAGTGGGAATATAGATAATGGCTATAAACAATAATTGAATGAAAAATGACCATTTCACCCATATACAGGTTTTTTTTTTTTTGGTCAATTAGTCTGCCATTCATAATTTCATTCAATGAAATACAACCAATGACAATGTAGCATCTAAATATTTCCTGTGTGGTTATAAGATAATAAGTTCATTTAGACTTTAAACTATTTCCTCTCAACAGTTTATGCACAGGAACAATTTTATGCAGATTGCAATGCAAATAATTATACATTACTTTTTTGTTCCCTATTAGTTACCACAGATCAGGAAAAACATATGATATTTGTCTTTTGGAGACTGGCTTATTTCACCAAGTATAATGGGTTCGAGTTGCATCCATTTTGCAAAAGGCAGGATTTCATTCTTTTTTGTGGATGAGTAATATTCCATAGTGTATGCATACCACATTTTCTTTATCCAGTCATCAGTTGATGGCATCTGGATTGATTCCTTATTTATAGAATCAAAAATCCCATGTCTTTATGGAATATGCAGCTATTTTTAACTGAGATACAATAAACATGGGGGTACAAATAACTCATTTATATACTGATTTCATTTCCTTTGGGTGAATTTCCAGGAGCAGGATGGCTTGGTCATATGGTAGATCTACTTTCTCTAGCCATATGGTCAATGTTTTTGTCATTGTGGTATATTTCTAAAATACTAACACCTAGAATTTCTGTTCAACTCCATCACATCTCTTTTCACATTCATTTATATCTGTTCTTATTTTTATTATGTGTCCTTAACATAGTGGAAAGACATGAAACTATATTTTATTGATTAAAGTATCAATACAGAGCCTATGCAACTACCACTGGATTTTATTTTGTATAATTTTCATCCTTGAATACAAAAGACATTCTAATATCCAATGCTTTTAATTGTTTGGAAAAGACCTAAGGCTAACTACTAGTAGTATCAACGACATCACATCTGTCCAATGATACTGATAGAATACTTGAACTGAATACTTTGAGATTTCATTGTCACAGCCCTTGTCTATATGCTTGAGGAACAGTGGTTTTCTACTTACTACTTGTTAAAGTCTAGGGTTAAGCTTGTGGTTATAAAATAAACTAAAAGTAAGTCATTGTAAAATTTAAAAGAAAAAATAAGAAATGAAGGAGGGAGGGTGAGAGCATGGGTGGAAGGCTACATAAGGTGGAAGCATCATTATGCTCTTAAAGCTGTATATATGAAGTACATGAAATGTGTTCACCTTTTAAAAATCAAAAAAAAATTTTAAAGAGTATCAGATGATTAAGAAAGGGAATTACATCACTGAAGTGAACGAATTTCTATTAGTAATGTATCTGAAATTTGCTTTTACTGCATGATTAATCTTATGAGTATAAAGTAAACTGAAAACACATCTTTGTAAAAATTAAGAGTGGGAATAGGAGAGGAGGAAGGGTGGAAGTGCGAGTGGGAGAGAGGGTATGGTGGGAAGAATCACTGTGTTCCAAAACCTGTATATATGAAATGCATGAAATTTGTATACTTTAAATAAAATTTTCTTAAAGAAAAATAGCATACGTGTAGAAAGGAATGGAAAGGACATGATTTTGTGGGGATTGGGGAAATATATTGATTCTCAACACAAAAGTAGTTATATTTATTTATTTTTGAACACTGTAATTGTTAAAATGTATTTATTTCTTTTATTTATTTGAAAAGCAGAGAGAAGGTGGGGGGCATATCTTACCTCTTGATTTAATTCTCAAATACCCAAAACATCCAAAGAAAGACCAGACCAAAGCCAGGAACCCAAAATTCAATCCGAGTCTCTCACTTGGGTATCAGGGACCCAACTACTAAAGCCATCACCTTGCTTCCTCTCAGGTGCCCAATAGAAGAAAGGTAGAATCAGACACAGAGCCAGGATTCAAACCCAGGCACTTTTATACCAGCTTGTGGCTTCCCGAGCATCATCTTAACCACTGCACCAAATGCCTACCTCAGGATACTGACTTTGAAATCCTAACAGTGTGGGTTGCAATCCAGGCTCTGTCACAGCCTATATAATATTAGACAAGAAAATCTCTTTGAGCTTCCATTCCTTCATATAGTAGTCAGTGTTGCTGTATATCATGTGTTCTATTCTCCTCTGTTCAGGGCATGTGGCAGAACTACACTTTCTGATTGCCATGTATGTGACTGGCTTCTGTCCTGTGTGTTGTGAGTGGCATGCTATTTTGGTATGAAAACATTTCATTGTTGGTTTGAGAGCCTCGGGGACTATCTTCCTATCTGACAGTGACTGAACAATTTCTAGATGGTGGCTCCTTCATCAGTTGAGGTTTCTGAGACTTCCCAGTAAGAATCACTCAGATCCCAGTATCCACCATCCTAGGAATGACATGCACCTGCCCTGTATGTTTATCAGGAGAGAGAAATAAGCAACAGAGGTTTGGGAGTTGCTTATAATCCACAGCAGTACCTGGCCTCTCCTAACTCATATGTCTCATCTGCAAATTAAAATAGTGTCCTCTCAGGATTTTTCATGGGTTTAAATGAGAAAACTTACATGAGAAGGTTATCAAGTACCTACCACATCCCAAGGTCTCAAACTATGGCAGGTGTAATTATTGAAGAACAGCAAAATGTTTTTTTGAAAAACTGGATTATTTGTATAAAATGACAGATATGTGTCTTCTTGACATGTAAGCTGTATCTTGCTGTCAGAAGTGGAGCACTTTATCTGCATGCTATAGATGAACATTTTCTAATGGCACATTTATATACTTATTTTCAGCCACAATGATACCAGCAGCATACTAAAAATTGACAGTAACACTGAAGAATGGAAATGTGCAAATTTTCAAAGAGACTGACAAATGATATAATGTGAATTACAGAGCTTTCTTCATTATTATGTACTTTCTTCATGACAAGAACATACAATAATTATTATAAAGATGCATTTCATCCTTTGTAATGAATGGCAGGAGGTTTTAAAGCTGTAAAAGACTGTGCTCATTTTGGCAGCACATACACTGAAGTGGTCGACTTAATCTGAACAGGGCTTCCCCCAATGTATTCTGAAGAACACTACTAATACCTCAAATGCTCAATGGAAAAATGTTACATTTCCTTATAAGCTGGGGCAACTACTTCTCCCATTGTGATTCATGTTCTATATGAGCATGTGGTGTGAAAAAACTTGCACAATATGGAAATTTGCTCACCTCCAATTTGGTACATCCCATACTTCTCTTGAACAGAATACATGTTTGTTTTGGCTGTCTCTTGTCCACGGTGTTTTCCACAACAAACTTGAAAAGGGTCAAGAGCTGAGGAAAAACAGATTATTTAAGCTGCATACAATGTGATGATAAAATAACATGAGTGAAGAAACTGTCTATGTCTGGAAGAAGCTCCTGGCTCCTGGCTTCAGATCGGCACAGCTCCAGCCGTTGCGGCCAACTGGGGAGTGAACCAGTGGATGGAAGACCTCTCTCTCTCTCTCTCTCTCTCTCTGCCATTCCTTCTCTCTGTAACTCTGATTTTCAAGCAAAATAAATAAATCTTTAAAAAAAAACTGTCTCCTAAACTTCATTCAATGTAAGCATGATCTAGCTACTTACTCAACGTTACCCAATCAGTGTTACTGTCAGGGTGCATCAAATGTCTCATCTGAGATTTTACTTAATACTTTTCTTAAATCTGTTCACTATTTCACCACGAAGAACAGCAGAGAGTTTTTAAGAAGGCACCTAAGAAGCAATACATAGAAATTAGGTGTGGGGAGGTAACAGAGCAGGCCGGACTACTTGAAGCCATTTTGAGATCATAAGCACAAAAAGATTGCCTCTCCACTCCCAAATGTAGTTTGTATGAACTTCAGATAAAGTACAATAAATGAATTCTGAATCATCACATCGTGGTTGCTTTCACACTTTCCTAAAAACTTCAAATTCTTTTCCAGTGTCTCCCCTATCCCTCCCTCTTGCATCTTCCCTGAGCATGTTTAGAATGTCTGCTGGAAACATAAACCATGAGAACCAAGATAATCTTTACACCAACCGGATATGCAGTCGTCTCTACGAACAGGCACCTAGGAAGTCTCATGGTGTCCTTAATAAGGACACGGGCAGGAAGGGGCCAAGGAGGGCGTGAAGGCGGCAGGGTGAGAGGCCAGGGTATAGCTTTACCAAGAGGGTGGAGGTGGGGAGAGGTCTCACAACACTTCCAGAGCCCTGGCCCCGACAGAAAAGTCCAAGAGTCCCCGCCGCCCCCTCACAACTTTCTCCCTGCTCTGCCCACTCGCAGCCGCCACACCGTACCCCTCGCCCCCACTCTCCCGCCACATTTCACCCCACCTCAGCTCCTGTGCTTACACCTGCTCCACCACAGGTTCCCAGGCGTCGAAGCTGAGACGTAGCCCCCCAACCCCCATTTTCTCTGTGAGGAAACAAACGTTCGGTCGCTTCGGGAAGCCAAGCCCGCCCCCTATATCCACGCACCCCCTATATCCACGCACCCCCTATATCCACGCACCCCCTCTGGAGCCCTCCGCCCTTCGGAAGCCACTTGCCTGCCCCTAAAGCCACATCTCAGAGTACACGTCCAGTATCGGCTAGTTCGTGCCCCTCCTACCAGAACATCACCCACCACGGCAGGAAGGGAGTCAACGGCCAGGCAGGTGCGTTCTGGGGGCACTTTGCCGCCCCAGCCACGACGCCCACCCGGGTTCTGAATGTCCTCTGCACCCGCAGTCGGATACCTCGAGGGTGAGGTTAACGGGACTCTCCGCTTGTGTCAATGGCGGTTCCTCCTACTTCGTAGTTCGTTCTCGCGGTCTCACGAACTACGTAACACTTAGCGCTTTCACGCTCAGTCCTTAAGTTACGCAGAGGGCGGAGCCTCACGTGACCCAAAGGTCGCGTGCAACCAATAGGAATAACTTCCGTAGCAGGGCTGTGGTGCGCACGTGGATGCCACAGCCCCACCTTACCGCGTGATGTTTGTAACTAAGTAACTGTCCATGAGAACGTCCACAGAGTTCAGCAGTTCAAAAACAAACGTTCCCTTGGTTGGGCTTATTAAAGTGCTTTTGTGGTGGTGGGGGAGGGGGAGGGATGTGGAGGGCTAACACCTCTACAGCGTACATACACATGACCTAAACAGCAGGTAGCCTCTAATGTCTTTGAGTGCTCAGGATGCCACATGCTGGAGTGCAGAAAAAGCTTCATGGAGAGGACCTATGCAAAGAGATGACATCACCTCACCGTTTAAGAGTGCACAGTCTGGGAGCCAGTGCTGTGGTGTAGTGGGGTAAGTCGATGCCGCCTGCAGCCCAGCATCCCATTCGGACGCCGGTTCGATTCCCGGCTGCTCCGCTGCTGATCCAGCGCCCTGCTAATGGCCTGGGAAAGCAGCTGAAGATGGTCCAAGTGCTTGGGCCCCCACATGGGGGATCCGGATGAGGTTCCTGGCTCCTGCCCTCAGTCTGGCCCAACTGGGGAGTGAACCAGTGGATGGAAGAATTCCTTCTCTCTGCCTCTGCCATTCCCTCTCCATAACTCCACCTTTCTGGGTGCACCCATGAGACGTATATCCTTTGGAACGTGCAATATTCATAATCACGTGCCCGTGAGGGTTGGGCCAGCTTTTTGCTGGTAGGGTCTGATGACAGAATGATTTCCCTGATTTGCATGTATCTCTACATGAGAACTAGAGGTCTGTGATTTCCCTCAGTCCTGGGCTCCTCGGTGATGGTGGTACCTCCATGTGACCTTTTCTTAAGATTTGTTTATTTATTTGAAAGGCAGAGTTACCGAGAGAGAGAGAAGGAGAGATGGAGAGAGAGGTCTTCCATTCAGTGGTTCACTCCCCAGATGGCTGGAATAGCCAGAGCTGGGCCAGTCCAAAGCCAGAAACCAGGAGCATCCTCTGGATCTCCCATGTGGGTACAGGGACCCAAGGACTTGAGCCATCCTCTGCTGCTTTCCCAGGCACATTAGCAGGGAGCTGAATCAGAAGGGGAGCAGCCAGAACTTGAACTAGTGCCCATATGGGATGCTGGAGCTGCAGGCAGCGGCTTTACCCACTACACAACAGTCACAGCCCCTTCCATATGACTTTACACAACACACAAACTTGGATTTTATTCCTTTCAACACACACACACACACACACACACGTCTCTCTTCAATATATTTCATCTGTTTCTTTGAAACACATGACATTTAATCCATAATAAAGTAACACCTGAAAATGAGATAGATCTTCCTAAAACAAGAAAATAAAGCATGAGGACCGGCGCTGTGGCGCAGTTGATAAAGCCACCGCCTGCAGTGCTGGCATCCCATATGGGCGCCAGTAAGAGGCCCGGCTGCTCCACTTTTAATCCAGCTCTCTGCTATGGCCTGAGAAAGCAGTAGAAGATGGCCCAAGTCCTTGGGCTCCTGCCCCCATGTAGGAGACCTGGAAGAAGCTCCTGACTCCTGGCTTCAGATCAGCACAGCTCCAGCCATTGAGGCCATCTGGTGAGTGAACCAGAGGATGGAAGACCTCTCTCTCTCTCTCTCTCTCTCTCTCTCCCTCTCCCTCTCCCTCTCTCCTCTCTCCTTCTCTTCTTCTCTCCCTCTCTGCCTCTGCCTCTCTGTAATTCTGCCTTTCAAATAAATAAATAAATATTTTTAAAAATTAAAAAATAAAATAAAGCAAAGAGCCTGAACAGCAAGAACATATAAATGTTTTTCTCAAAAAAAGATTTATTTATTTATTTGAGAGGCAGAGTTACAGACAGAGAGGAGGAGACAGACAGAGAGGTTTTCCATCTGCTGGTTCACTCCCCAAATGGCTGCAACAGCTGGAGCTGAGTTTATCTGAAGCGAGGAGCTTCAGGTCTCTCACGTGGGTGCAGGGACCCAAGCTCTTGAGTCATCTTCCACTACTTTCCCAGGCCATAAACAGAGAGTTGGATCATAAGAGCAGCAGCTGGGACATGAACCTGCACCCATATAAGATGCCTTTGCTACAGGCAGAGGCTGAACCTGCTATGTCACAGCGCCAGCCCCAGATAAGTGGCTTTAATTTAATATCATACAGATTGAAAGGAAATTAATTTAACTTGTTAATTTGAAAATTACAATATGTATAGTGGTTACTCTGGGCCCCTCCCAGTCTCTCTAGTAATCAATATTTTATGTTCAGATTTTTTTTTAATTTAGGCTCCCACATTTAAGGAGAACATGCAGTATGTGTTTGGCTTGTTTTACTTAACATGATGTCCTCCAGTCACATCCATTTTGCTGCAAATATCAGGATTTCATTGGTTTTTGTAGCTGAATATTATCTGTTGTTAAGTAACTTTCCCAAAGAGTGGAGAAACAGAAAAATCACAGGGACACCTGTACTTTGAGTGGCTTCAGCTAGGGATGTTCTCTTATTTGTCTTTTCATTCCTAGCACCTGGAATAGTTCCTAACTGAACCAAAACCTTGGGGGAATGCATATGAAATAAGGAACCACTGAGCCCCAAGAATGTGAGGCCTAGGAAAAGAGGCAGCAGCACAGTGATGAAAATATCAGGAAGTAGTGGACAGTTTTCTCCCCTTTTAATTGTGGATGGTTTCTCATAAGAAGACTAAGTCAATCATAAATAGAATTTTAAAGGACTTCAGAGGGCCAAATGTTTGGCTTCAATACCCACCACCTATTCCACAATAAAATTCTGGAAAGGTTTGATTTGTCCTGAGTGTCAGGTACCCATAGGCAAATCAGAGTGGACAGGAAAATGGTCAGTTCATGTCACGTACCCCACGCTGCCATCCGTAAGAAGAAAAAAGATGCAGAAACAGTGAGTAAGGGACCCACAGGACCTCTCAATGTCTTCTATTTTCTTCTAAGAGTTCTTTTATAGACATAAGTTACACATCCAATCTCGCTAACACCAGTTTGCTAGAACAGTAAAATTTCACATGTCAGTCGCTACAACCTGGACTTCAGGCAAGAACCCTTTGTATTTAAATGGCAACATGTCAGCATTGGAAAAAAAAAACTCCCTTGTGTTGTGCAAAATCACTCAGTACATGTGGTCCAGTTCATGCTGTTCCACTATACTGCCTGCTACATCACCTTCCATGGAGCCTGAACTTTAGCAAGCTTTTGTTAGTCCAAACTGCCATAAGAATGCCGTTATTCATAGCAGTGGATAAGGACATGACAAATCACATCCTTCAGTGCCTTCAATTCATTTCACTTCCTTTTAATCTGTATGATGTAGAAGACTCAAGAACACAAGCATTGTAATAGGGCTGAAGGCAAAACTAAGGACGCTGAGGTGGGAAGAGTATCTCAAGACTGAGATGCCAACAGATAGCAGAGTCAGATATCAGGCAATTATTTATCTCCACATGCTGCAATGCTCCGTACAGCTGCTTCTGCAGAGTCTGGAAGAGCTCAGAAACTTCCCTGAGTATCTGGTTGTTACTGAGATTCAACAGTTACATGAGTGGCCTGAGAGCTCTGGGACAGGGCAGTGAAATCTTTGTTAGAAATTCCACAGAAAGATAGAGAAAGATAGAATGAATCCAACTTAGGTGGCAGGGCTGTGTATGGAGAGCAAAAAGACCAACATTTGAAGGATAAAGGTTGGAACAGGATAAGATGTCCTGAATTATAGGGATTTGTGGGTCTAAAATAAACTAATTTGTACATGTATTACAATAATAGTTAACAATGTGGGCTTTTAGTTTTGTGACCCTGAAAAGGTTACTTTTCCACTCAGATACAGTTTTTAAACTTTAAAATGTGCACAATGGATGTTGTGTACTGTTGTGGGATAAAATAAGTGAAAAAAATTTAGTTCACTCAGTAGGCCCAACATAATTGATAGTGGATCTAATTTACTTGTTTGGTGGGTGTGAGTCTGGGAAAGTAGCGACCCAAATTTTCCTTTGATAAAACCCCAGGTGAAAATTTCTCCATTCAGAACTTACCAAAATCAACATACCCTGGTAATATTAATTACTGTGATCAGGCCATGAGAATGTGCATCAATGCTACAGCAAGAAACATCGCTCAATCTGAACACTTTCCCTTCCTGTTGTAGATGGCTGTAGATTACATGGGGCTGGTGTTGTGGCTCAGTAGTTTAAGCTGCCACCTGAAGCATCGGCGTCCCATATGAGTGTGGGATATTACGTCCAGCTGCTCCACTTCTGCTCCTGCTTCGTGCTAGTGGCCTGGGAAAAGCTATGAAAGATGGCCTCAAGTGTTTGGGCCCCTGCCACCCATGTGGTAGACTGGGAGTAGCTCCTGGATTCTGATTTTGGCCTGGCGCAGCCCTGGACATTTCAGCAATCTCGGGAGTGATGAACGAGTTCTCTCTCTCTCTCTCTCTTCTCTCTCTCTCTCTCTCTCTCTCTATATATATATATATATATCCATTTCAAATAAATACAGAAATCTTGTAAAAATGTTAATCATGATGAAGTTTACATGTTAATGCTAAATCCAAAATTCACAATAAATATATAGTATTTTTGCACCAAATGACATAACAATCACCTTTACAATGCAAAAAGATAAGAAGAAATACAGATAGTAAGAGATTTACTTTTTAAGATAACTTTTTTTTCAGATGTGTTTATTTATTTCAGTGGCAGAGTTAAATATAAAGGTAGAGACACTCCCTTACATGGCAGCACTGGCCAGAGCTGGGCTGATCTGAAGCCAGGAGACAGGAACTTTTTCTGGGTCTCCCAGATGGATGCAGGGTTCTAAGCACTTGGATCATCTTCTACTGCCTTCCCAGGCCATTGGCAGAAAGCTGGATCAGAAGTAGAGCAGCAAGGACATGAACTGGCTCCCATATGGGATGTCGATATAGCAGGTGGAGGCTTAACCTACTACTCCACAGTGCTGGCCCCAATAGTAAGAGATTTAATATAGCAAATCTCAATAATAAATAGATCAAATAGTATGAAAAAGATCAAGTAT